GACTTGCTTCTCGAGCTGCTGCAGCGCGGTGGCGCTCTTGTCGAGCGTCCTGCGCGTGAGCCGGACGCTGAGCGAGTCGACGCAGACGGTGTCGATGTTGTGTAACTGTGTAACATTAAGTGAGGGTGCGGTACTGACTGTGCGACTTGCTTCTCGAGCTGCTGCAGCGCGGTGGCGCTCTTGTCGAGCGTCCTGCGCGTGAGCCGGACGCTGAGCGAGTCGACGCAGACGGTGTCGATGTTGTGTAACTGTGTAACATTAAGTGAGGGTGCGGTACTGACTGTGCGACTTGCTTCTCGAGCTGCTGCAGCGCGGTGGCGCTCTTGTCGAGCGTCCTGCGCGTGAGCCGGACGCTGAGCGAGTCGACGCAGACGGTGTCGATGTTGTGTAACTGTGTAACATTAAGTGAGGGTGCGGTACTGACTGTGCGACTTGCTTCTCGAGCTGCTGCAGCGCGGTGGCGCTCTTGTCGAGCGTCCTGCGCGTGAGCCGGACGCTGAGCGAGTCGACGCAGACGGTGTCGATGTTGTGTAACTGTGTAACATTAAGTGAGGGTGCGGTACTGACTGTGCGACTTGCTTCTCGAGCTGCTGCAGCGCGGTGGCGCTCTTGTCGAGCGTCCTGCGCGTGAGCCGGACGCTGAGCGAGTCGACGCAGACGGTGTCGATGTTGTGTAACTGTGTAACATTAAGTGAGGGTGCGGTACTGACTGTGCGACTTGCTTCTCGAGCTGCTGCAGCGCGGTGGCGCTCTTGTCGAGCGTCCTGCGCGTGAGCCGGACGCTGAGCGAGTCGACGCAGACGGTGTCGATGTTGTGTAACTGTGTAACATTAAGTGAGGGTGCGGTACTGACTGTGCGACTTGCTTCTCGAGCTGCTGCAGCGCGGTGGCGCTCTTGTCGAGCGTCCTGCGCGTGAGCCGGACGCTGAGCGAGTCGACGCAGACGGTGTCGATGTTGTGTAACTGTGTAACATTAAGTGAGGGTGCGGTACTGACTGTGCGACTTGCTTCTCGAGCTGCTGCAGCGCGGTGGCGCTCTTGTCGAGCGTCCTGCGCGTGAGCCGGACGCTGAGCGAGTCGACGCAGACGGTGTCGATGTTGTGTAACTGTGTAACATTAAGTGAGGGTGCGGTACTGACTGTGCGACTTGCTTCTCGAGCTGCTGCAGCGCGGTGGCGCTCTTGTCGAGCGTCCTGCGCGTGAGCCGGACGCTGAGCGAGTCGACGCAGACGGTGTCGATGTTGTGTAACTGTGTAACATTAAGTGAGGGTGCGGTACTGACTGTGCGACTTGCTTCTCGAGCTGCTGCAGCGCGGTGGCGCTCTTGTCGAGCGTCCTGCGCGTGAGCCGGACGCTGAGCGAGTCGACGCAGACGGTGTCGATGTTGTGTAACTGTGTAACATTAAGTGAGGGTGCGGTACTGACTGTGCGACTTGCTTCTCGAGCTGCTGCAGCGCGGTGGCGCTCTTGTCGAGCGTCCTGCGCGTGAGCCGGACGCTGAGCGAGTCGACGCAGACGGTGTCGATGTTGTGTAACTGTGTAACATTAAGTGAGGGTGCGGTACTGACTGTGCGACTTGCTTCTCGAGCTGCTGCAGCGCGGTGGCGCTCTTGTCGAGCGTCCTGCGCGTGAGCCGGACGCTGAGCGAGTCGACGCAGACGGTGTCGATGTTGTGTAACTGTGTAACATTAAGTGAGGGTGCGGTACTGACTGTGCGACTTGCTTCTCGAGCTGCTGCAGCGCGGTGGCGCTCTTGTCGAGCGTCCTGCGCGTGAGCCGGACGCTGAGCGAGTCGACGCAGACGGTGTCGATGTTGTGTAACTGTGTAACATTAAGTGAGGGTGCGGTACTGACTGTGCGACTTGCTTCTCGAGCTGCTGCAGCGCGGTGGCGCTCTTGTCGAGCGTCCTGCGCGTGAGCCGGACGCTGAGCGAGTCGACGCAGACGGTGTCGATGTTGTGTAACTGTGTAACATTAAGTGAGGGTGCGGTACTGACTGTGCGACTTGCTTCTCGAGCTGCTGCAGCGCGGTGGCGCTCTTGTCGAGCGTCCTGCGCGTGAGCCGGACGCTGAGCGAGTCGACGCAGACGGTGTCGATGTTGTGTAACTGTGTAACATTAAGTGAGGGTGCGGTACTGACTGTGCGACTTGCTTCTCGAGCTGCTGCAGCGCGGTGGCGCTCTTGTCGAGCGTCCTGCGCGTGAGCCGGACGCTGAGCGAGTCGACGCAGACGGTGTCGATGTTGTGTAACTGTGTAACATTAAGTGAGGGTGCGGTACTGACTGTGCGACTTGCTTCTCGAGCTGCTGCAGCGCGGTGGCGCTCTTGTCGAGCGTCCTGCGCGTGAGCCGGACGCTGAGCGAGTCGACGCAGACGGTGTCGATGTTGTGTAACTGTGTAACATTAAGTGAGGGTGCGGTACTGACTGTGCGACTTGCTTCTCGAGCTGCTGCAGCGCGGTGGCGCTCTTGTCGAGCGTCCTGCGCGTGAGCCGGACGCTGAGCGAGTCGACGCAGACGGTGTCGATGTTGTGTAACTGTGTAACATTAAGTGAGGGTGCGGTACTGACTGTGCGACTTGCTTCTCGAGCTGCTGCAGCGCGGTGGCGCTCTTGTCGAGCGTCCTGCGCGTGAGCCGGACGCTGAGCGAGTCGACGCAGACGGTGTCGATGTTGTGTAACTGTGTAACATTAAGTGAGGGTGCGGTACTGACTGTGCGACTTGCTTCTCGAGCTGCTGCAGCGCGGTGGCGCTCTTGTCGAGCGTCCTGCGCGTGAGCCGGACGCTGAGCGAGTCGACGCAGACGGTGTCGATGTTGTGTAACTGTGTAACATTAAGTGAGGGTGCGGTACTGACTGTGCGACTTGCTTCTCGAGCTGCTGCAGCGCGGTGGCGCTCTTGTCGAGCGTCCTGCGCGTGAGCCGGACGCTGAGCGAGTCGACGCAGACGGTGTCGATGTTGTGTAACTGTGTAACATTAAGTGAGGGTGCGGTACTGACTGTGCGACTTGCTTCTCGAGCTGCTGCAGCGCGGTGGCGCTCTTGTCGAGCGTCCTGCGCGTGAGCCGGACGCTGAGCGAGTCGACGCAGACGGTGTCGATGTTGTGTAACTGTGTAACATTAAGTGAGGGTGCGGTACTGACTGTGCGACTTGCTTCTCGAGCTGCTGCAGCGCGGTGGCGCTCTTGTCGAGCGTCCTGCGCGTGAGCCGGACGCTGAGCGAGTCGACGCAGACGGTGTCGATGTTGTGTAACTGTGTAACATTAAGTGAGGGTGCGGTACTGACTGTGCGACTTGCTTCTCGAGCTGCTGCAGCGCGGTGGCGCTCTTGTCGAGCGTCCTGCGCGTGAGCCGGACGCTGAGCGAGTCGACGCAGACGGTGTCGATGTTGTGTAACTGTGTAACATTAAGTGAGGGTGCGGTACTGACTGTGCGACTTGCTTCTCGAGCTGCTGCAGCGCGGTGGCGCTCTTGTCGAGCGTCCTGCGCGTGAGCCGGACGCTGAGCGAGTCGACGCAGACGGTGTCGATGTTGTGTAACTGTGTAACATTAAGTGAGGGTGCGGTACTGACTGTGCGACTTGCTTCTCGAGCTGCTGCAGCGCGGTGGCGCTCTTGTCGAGCGTCCTGCGCGTGAGCCGGACGCTGAGCGAGTCGACGCAGACGGTGTCGATGTTGTGTAACTGTGTAACATTAAGTGAGGGTGCGGTACTGACTGTGCGACTTGCTTCTCGAGCTGCTGCAGCGCGGTGGCGCTCTTGTCGAGCGTCCTGCGCGTGAGCCGGACGCTGAGCGAGTCGACGCAGACGGTGTCGATGTTGTGTAACTGTGTAACATTAAGTGAGGGTGCGGTACTGACTGTGCGACTTGCTTCTCGAGCTGCTGCAGCGCGGTGGCGCTCTTGTCGAGCGTCCTGCGCGTGAGCCGGACGCTGAGCGAGTCGACGCAGACGGTGTCGATGTTGTGTAACTGTGTAACATTAAGTGAGGGTGCGGTACTGACTGTGCGACTTGCTTCTCGAGCTGCTGCAGCGCGGTGGCGCTCTTGTCGAGCGTCCTGCGCGTGAGCCGGACGCTGAGCGAGTCGACGCAGACGGTGTCGATGTTGTGTAACTGTGTAACATTAAGTGAGGGTGCGGTACTGACTGTGCGACTTGCTTCTCGAGCTGCTGCAGCGCGGTGGCGCTCTTGTCGAGCGTCCTGCGCGTGAGCCGGACGCTGAGCGAGTCGACGCAGACGGTGTCGATGTTGTGTAACTGTGTAACATTAAGTGAGGGTGCGGTACTGACTGTGCGACTTGCTTCTCGAGCTGCTGCAGCGCGGTGGCGCTCTTGTCGAGCGTCCTGCGCGTGAGCCGGACGCTGAGCGAGTCGACGCAGACGGTGTCGATGTTGTGTAACTGTGTAACATTAAGTGAGGGTGCGGTACTGACTGTGCGACTTGCTTCTCGAGCTGCTGCAGCGCGGTGGCGCTCTTGTCGAGCGTCCTGCGCGTGAGCCGGACGCTGAGCGAGTCGACGCAGACGGTGTCGATGTTGTGTAACTGTGTAACATTAAGTGAGGGTGCGGTACTGACTGTGCGACTTGCTTCTCGAGCTGCTGCAGCGCGGTGGCGCTCTTGTCGAGCGTCCTGCGCGTGAGCCGGACGCTGAGCGAGTCGACGCAGACGGTGTCGATGTTGTGTAACTGTGTAACATTAAGTGAGGGTGCGGTACTGACTGTGCGACTTGCTTCTCGAGCTGCTGCAGCGCGGTGGCGCTCTTGTCGAGCGTCCTGCGCGTGAGCCGGACGCTGAGCGAGTCGACGCAGACGGTGTCGATGTTGTGTAACTGTGTAACATTAAGTGAGGGTGCGGTACTGACTGTGCGACTTGCTTCTCGAGCTGCTGCAGCGCGGTGGCGCTCTTGTCGAGCGTCCTGCGCGTGAGCCGGACGCTGAGCGAGTCGACGCAGACGGTGTCGATGTTGTGTAACTGTGTAACATTAAGTGAGGGTGCGGTACTGACTGTGCGACTTGCTTCTCGAGCTGCTGCAGCGCGGTGGCGCTCTTGTCGAGCGTCCTGCGCGTGAGCCGGACGCTGAGCGAGTCGACGCAGACGGTGTCGATGTTGTGCGCCTCGTCGAACACGACGGCCGCCTCGCGCTGCAGCTCGCGCGACACCAGCTCCGCCACCTTCGGGTCCAGCAGGTAGTGGTACGAGTACACGACGATCTCCGCGTGCACCACCTGTACACAACACCAACTTCATCATCATCGTCATTAGGCCTCCCAAAAGGAATACCACAAAGCACGCTTTTACTGGAAGCGAGGCATTCCATCTTAGTCCTCAGGGGTGACAACGCATCTGCATTTTGATACTTGCAAAATAGGTATAATCATAAGAAAAAAAAATGGTCAAATACAATTGTTTTTCAATTATTAATAATTGTGTATAAATATAGGCTAGAGCCTATTCCTAGATATTGTCTCATGAGTGTCATATGATGCGAGGGGTGAAACCATGAAGCAAATACAAAGAGGAGACGTTGTAATTAAATTTCACTATGTAACAACGCGTGACAATTTGCGGGGTGAGGGGATGCAAAGCCCCGCCCACTTTACACTATCAACATCTACCGATCAATAGTAAAACTACTCGAATCTTTCCATATCGATGTTCCAATGCAGCTTAGCTACCTTGACGGTAGATGGCGGCATGTCCACAAAATGTTATATACTAAAAAATAATATTTTGGCGATTAAAATTTCTTTATGTCTGAATGCAAAACAAATTTCAGCACCTTCGTATGATTATTTTATTATTACTGAGCTCTACGTACCAATATATTTTTAGTTCACAGGACACAAAGTGTCGCCATCTAGTGTGGAATATATTTAATTATATTTGAAAGCCGACGCAAAGAGATTTTTCTAGAACTATTTTAATAAATTAGGTGTAAAATTACTTACAAATGAAATGTGATGCGATCCATAGCATCGGAGCGTCTATCTCATGAAGCAAATACATTCAGACAAAGAAATTATAATCGCCAAAATAATATTTTTATAGCTTTCATAATAATTTTGGGAACAGGCCGCCATCTATCGTCAAGAAAACCTCATAAAAAAATAACAAAAAGACAGGGCCGCAATTAGAATTCAATTATTTTACCCAGTAACCTAACATTCAATATTAAAATGAAGGAAATTGTACTTGACTGATTTTTACGGAATGTTTAAGTTATATTTAAGTGACATTCTATATGCAAAGAATCACTTAAATACAATTTAAATATGTTTATCATTTCGTGAAAGTCAACCTTCAAGAAATATTTATTTTATCCATAAAATAAAGTCTCTTTGAATCTAAATTTTCTATGTTCAATATTAAGTAGGATATTTATTTTGGAACTAAATATCCTACTTATCTCACTAATATTCTAAAGGCGAAATTTTGTGTGCTCTTTCTGTCTCCTTGAGCTTATTCCACACTAAGTATGTCAATTTTTTTCACGCAGAAACGGCTGGACTATTATTTATGTGTGGGTTATTCTACTTAATATCACTGAGGGAGAAAAAATAATAGAGAAATTATTATAATTAATATAATTTTATTTACAAATCAATTAAAATATAAATATTTTATTCCAAATTAGGCATCCGAATGCACTTTTTGAATGCCAATCTAAGAACATTAAATTGTATTTAAGTGATTCTTTGCATATAGAATGTTACTTAAATATAACTTTAAACATTTCGTGAAAATCAGCCTAAGTACAATTTCCTGCATTTTAATATTAAAAGTTGGATTACTGGGAAAAATAATTGAATTCTAATTAGGGCCCTGTCTTTTTGTCATTTTTATGAGGTTTACTTGACGAGAATACGGCCTGTTCTCAAAATGATTATAAACTATAAAAATAGTATTTTGCGATTAAAATTTATTTATGTCTGAATGTAAAACAATTTTCAGCACCTTCGTATGATTATTTTACCAATACTGAGCTCTATGGACCTTTATATTTTTAGTTCACATCACACAAAGTGTCGCCATCTAGAGTCGAATATATTTAATTATATTTGAAAGCCGACGCAAAGAGATTTTTCTAGAACTATTTTAATAAATTAGGTATAAAATTATTTACAAATGAAATGTGATGCCATCCATAACATCAGAGCGTCTATCTGAGTAGTTTTTTACACAATAAAACATAACACTTCATCCTTTTCTTCTTAATACTACGAAAATACACCGATTTGCGACTTTTTCAACACATAAGCGTACAGGACGAATGCTGACAGTATACTAACTAAAGCCACGCCCACTATGGTGACGTCAGGACCTACTTAGAATCACAGTGCACAGTTGCTTATGCCGTCTCCCCTTTGTATTAGCTTCATGGGTGAAACAAACCAGAAGATGATTAGCAGCATTTTCTAGAAAATAAAAATAGCGGTTGTCAACTTGCCTACCAAGCAAATACGAGGGGTGTTCAATGTATTTTCGGTGTGGGTATGTTATATATAGAATTACGAAATATTTTTTTTATTTTTCAATATAGTCTCACATGACATCAATATATTTACTTTTCTATTCCCTTGAAAAAATATTCTTCACCTTGACCTGAAAAATGCTCATTCCCAACGGACTTGAGCTCATTATCGTCAGCAAATAGCTTTCCCCGAAGGTCTTTTTTTAAATTTGGGATCTGGGCTGTATGGTGAGTGTTTGTTACAGCAGCCCTGGAGAGCCGCGCCTTGTGAACCGGTGCGTTGTCACGAAGAAGCAACACTCCCTTGGTAAGCTTTTCCCTTCTCTTTTCTTTTATTGCTTCTCTCAAACGGCGTAAATTGGCTGAGTATTTTTCTTCGTTGATGGTTTATAGTGTTATGCTACTTACATATCATTTTACATTATTTTAAATTCATTTTTCCATTCTGTTTCGATTTTCTCCATTCACCTCAAAACTGGATATTTTACATCACCTTTATTTCCATAGGATCCTGTAACGATTTTAAACCATAAGAACACAATAACAAATCATTTTTACTTCGTATTTTCACACTATCAGCACTTTTAAATTGGTGTCAATGGAGTCTACCTTTTTCGATCTTTTATTTAGTTTTCCGTAACTCTGCAATTTCGGGCTTTGTGCGCGCAGGTGCGCTACCTTTTTTCCTATATCAATAATATCTCATTTTTCACTTAAATCTTGCCGTTTTTCTATTACGAGCCTAAAACCAAAATTTGACATGTTTTGACATCGTTGTTTATCTGGTTGTCATGACAATTTTATTCAAATTCGCTACCGGTCTGTTGCTTCTACTTCGATAATTCCACATAAATACTCTTTCCTCTTGGCCATTTACAAAAAATTTGCGTTTAATTTAAATAATTTTTCCGTTCTCTCTAAAAAGGTATAAAAGCCGAACAATCGGTGAAGAAATTCAGTCTCGCTTCAATTCTCAAATTCGAAGCATCTCCTAAAGGCCTTATCCCGGGGCCGCACTGCCCCGGGATCCTGCAAGCCTCTGTCCTGCCTGAAGCCGCTGGACCCTGCAAACCACTGCTCTGCCTGAAGTCGCCGGGATCTTACAAGCCTCTGCTCTGCCTGAAGCCGCCGGATCCTGCAAGCCTATGTCCCGCCTGAAGTCGCCGGATCCTACAAGCCTCTGTCCTGCCTGAAGTCGCCGGATCCTGCAGGCCTCTGTCCTGTCTGAAGTCGCTGAGGATCCTATAAGCCCCTGTCTTGCCTGAAGTCGCCGGATCTTGCAAACCACCGCATTCACCTGAGGTCGTCGCCTAGAGACGCCCACGCTTTCTCACCTACTCTGTGCGTGCTCGTTCCAGGCGCTGAGAGCACTTGCTGTACACCTTGGATCTTCGGGCTCAGCTTCAACACTAATCTTTTTTTTTATTATTATCTTTTTTTTTTAATATTTGTAAATCACGACATCCATCCTCATCTTCATACTCCATTTTGTTATATAAAATTGTAAATATCTTTTAAATTTTAAATATATTATTTGTTTTTGTTCTATTTTTGTTGTTTTGTTGCTGTTAGGTTAGATTCTTTTGTATTTAATTGTCGCTTCACGACAGGTTTCACCTTTATTTGTGTACTCGATCAATAGTATTCCTTTGGATTCCCAAAACACTGACTTCTGTCTGATCCCTTTTTATGGCATTGCATTGACTCCTGTTTAGTCTCAAGGTCATAGTGGTGAACCCGCGTTTTATCTCCTGTAACTATTCTATCGAAAACACTTCTAAAAACTCCCTACAACAGTCAATCCGCGCCTGTTTTTGAAGCGCAGTGGGCATTCGCGGCATCCATATTGCACTGACTTTTGTGAGGTTGAGATAGTCATGCAATATGGTGCGTACGGTACCAACGGATAGGTTAGTCATTTCTGTTAACATTTTTATTCTTACTCGTGCATCTTCTAATACAAGTTGTTTAATAATTTTCACATTTTCTTCTTAAGCTGTTGTGATTGGCCAACTCGAGCGGGGGTCATCTTTGGTGTTTTCCCTGCCTCTTTTGAATTCACTTGACCACTTCTGTACGATTGACATTGAAGGAACAGAGTCTTGGTAAACGGCCACAATTCCTTCACGGATGTTTTTTGAGTTTTTCCTTGTTAAGCGAGGAATTTAATCACCGCACGGTGTTCCGTTTTTTCAACATTGTCGAGTCAGTCATTACTGTCGTCTATGACTGAAAGTTACATAATGATGAATTCATTTTGTAACTGTTAATTACCCACATTATTATCAAATCACCCTAATACCGAGAATACATTAAACGCCCCTCGTATAATGCAATATATGCGAAAGTCACAGCAGTCGACTTTCATAGACTGTAATGAATGAATTCAAAACATAAAGAACTTGATTCGATTTTTTAACATCACATCTGGATTCGGGTAACTGCATTTTATAATTTGTTTAACACTCACAATAAAAATAATTATTTGGGTGACAGACACAGAGGTGATGTCATAAAAACTCCGATTTGATAAATTTTGCAAAGAACACTGATAGATAACATACTCTTGCTGAATGAAAATAAATCTAATTAAAAAGACTCACAGCAAACCTGGACAAAAAGTATGGGCACCAATTTCTATCGGCGCCATACTGCTTCAGGTCGTCGATTGTATACACGCCGTATGGCAGCATTGATTCTTTGCCTTCGCGGTTGAAACCTTCGTAAAACTGACCTAAAAATATTACTTGAATTAAAAAAAAAAATTTAAATAAAAACAACAAGATTATTTTTTTATACAATTTAATCTGGTTAAATATAAATTAATAGATAATATTTAATAAATAAAGTTGAATCAGCATGTAGTGAGGGCTCAGAAAATCCACTACCCCATATCACCCTGTGTGTGTCTTAACTTACAGAAGGAATTTGAAAGAAGAGATGGGCAGCAGCATCTTCCTTACAACAACTTAAAGTAAAAAAGTCTAAATGAGAACCTCCTTTTTTAAAATCAGTGTAGAAACATAAAAATACAAAAAACAAAAGCTTACAAATATTCACAGAATTGTCTCTCTCATGTCTCTCTCGTATATAGCTGGCTGTGAGGGAATGACATTTACCATCTACTAGCTTCCCCTCTCTTTCTCTTGACACCTGAAAATTATGCTTTATAGTAACTTTTACAAAAATATAAGTACACTTGACATTAACTGCATTTTCGTGTACCAGTGACAGCATGGGTTATGATAGCATTTATAAAAAAAAGGTGGCTTTGACTTAGGTATCATTTGTTTCCAAGTTTCAATTGCTATTATGCAATGGCAAATCTAGTAAGTTTAACTTAGGTCTTGTGGATGCCGGGTTACCGTAGGGCTTCAAATTCCAAAGCATTATTTTTTAAACCAATTTATTTAAAAAAAGACCAATAAATTTTAACCTCTAAAAAATTAAGAGACATAAAAGTTCTATTTCTAATTAGAGTTTGAGGATCCCTCATGGTTACTGCATTTGCCTCAAATTGTATGAAGTTTTCAAATTAAATTCCATGTACCAATTGAAAATACAATTGTATTAGGACCCAATTTACAACATGTTTTATGGTTTGTGTGGACCGATTGATGTAGCAACAAATTTAATAATATTCTCTTGGCTTTGTTACACCTTCAGGCTTAATCTGGAACTAAAATTGAAGTGACTGTTACTTTACTTTGCATTTTTAAGATAGTATTCACATACTTACCTCAGGATGTATACATAAATTCTTCCTAGAACTCAGTACAACACCAGTGAGATTGGGTTTCTCTCCTTGACATTTCTCATAATACTTAATAAGGTTTTTTAACTCTTCTACAACCTTTTCAATTTCTGGCACTGTACGAGAACAGTAGATTAACTTCCTGTAAATGTAATAAGCTAAAGTTATGATGGTGATGTCTTACTGGCATTAAGAACGGTGAATTTTCTTTTCTGTTCCAGTTTGATAGGTATGTAGAACCAGTAAAGTTACAAACTGTCAGGCTGAGTACATTTTATCTTAGTATGTACTCAGAAGAGATCATTCTTTGAAGTTGGTTACAGGTATAAACAAAAGTGGTGTAAAAAAACATTGTGGAGAAACCTACATTTTTTTATAGAATAAGTGTGACAAATGAGCAGTGCGACAAACCGTGTGTTGTTTATGGTTTGCGTTTGTAGTCAACGGTTGTGTTTAATTTCTACGTTGACATTGATGTTTGGCATTTGATCTGATTGTTAATTTTTGGTATTTTTCTATTTATTTACTTTTGCATTCACCGATTCGAATTCATTATATTTCGATGTTTCGCGTTTGTTTAAAGTTTCAATGCAATTATTAAAATCAAATGTTAAAACTGTGTTACGGCCCTCAATTGCCCAGACAGAAGTCGACTGTATTAGGGCCCATCAGTAATACACTCGACGAGCAACAGAGGGTTCGGGCCCAAATAGCCTATGGATAATTCTTAACTAATGGCTAATAAGCAAACACAACTTGCCGAGTTACGGAGGTAGGGTCGACCACGAGGCAAAGTCAGGTGGTAAGTAAGTGGGTGTAAAGTAGTGTGTGAAAGTGTATAGATGTAACCTGACGTCACCAATCTGACAGCAGACCCACAGGCGCTGCTTTTCTCCACAATGTGCAATCCCTCCAGTGTGCCTTCCCCAATAGAGATTTTCTGCTTTTATTTCACTATACTAGTTTATCAACTTTATTATACATTTAATTAACTTCAAATTTAACTAAATCAACGTTAATCGAAATTAAAACAAGTGACATGCTGCACAACTTAAGAACGGTCGGTCAAAGTTCAATGTCCCATGTTCACTTAGCACCAAATTATCATCGAGCACAAACGCGATCTCCTCTCGAGTTACAAAGTTTTAGCGTTCACCCGACAAAGCAAAATTCTTATTACGATATCAAAATGACACACAAACAACTCGTCGATGCAAATTAATGGCAATAGAAGTTAATTTAATCACTCAAAAACTCCCGAGCCGCCTCGTTGTCAAGTAAAACGAACGAAAAGACAACTCAATTAGAGGCAGTCGTCACGCGACCAAACTATACGAGGAGTAACTTCTAGACAATCGACACTACGGCCGCTCCCAACTCAAAACTATTACAACAAGAATTATAATAAGACCAGCCTCGTTGTCACATATACGAACGAAATAAGACAACTCAAAGGAGGCGGTTCCGAGCGTAAATTCCAGGCCGTCTTATCGACTCGGCGTACGCGCACAATTAACGACACCGGCCGCGCCTAACAAACTAACCCACGCGTCAGGCTACCGAGCGCTCAGCCGAGAGACCCGCACGGGAGAGGGGGCCGACGGTGACCTATAAATTCCATCGGAAGGACACGCCGTCGCGCGTCTTGGTTAATTATTTGGCCTAAACGAACCCCCGTCCCGGACATAAGGACTTATGTCCGCGAGTAAATTGGCAAACGGGATAGGGTCGCGACGGCACGTTGCAAGACCGAATCTCCAACCAAAACCTCGGCCACCCTAGGCACCCCATCAGATCCATACGACAACTCAATAATGCGCCCACGGCGCCAATACAAAGGCAAAGCTGGGTTCTTTAACTAACACGAGGTCTCCAACCCGAGGAGGATCCGTCTTGTTAGACCAATTAACGCGCTGCTGCAAAAGATGTAGGTACTCCAGCGACCATCGGTGCCAAAATCTCTTAGTCATTTGTTGCAGCAGGTCAAATCTACTCAGCCGCGAAGAGTTTAGTACCCTGAAGGGGTACTCGGGCAGGGCGTTAAGCGGCTGGCCAGTCAGGAAGTTGCCCGGGCCTCCAAATCATTCGGATCGGACGAGAGGGGACAGAGGGGCCGAGAGTTGAGTACCGCCTCAATTTTACAGAATACAGTGGCAAGCTCCTCAAATGTCAAAATAGCTTCGCCAATAACGCGACGGAGATGCGTTTTTGGAACCTTAACCACCACCTCAAAAAAAACCGTCCCAGTGTGGGCAAGCCGGGGGTCGAATTTCCACTGGATACCCTTCTTGGACCATCGCAGTACCTAAATAAGTCCTGTTGCTGGACAGAAATTCGACGACCTCTTTCAAATATCTATCTGTGCCCCTATGATTCGTTCCGCAATCAGACTGGATCAGGTCCGCAAACCGCGACGCGATACGAAGCGGCCCAGCGTGGCCACAAAGGCTTCAGTGCTGAGGGCACTTACAAGTTCTAAGTGAACGGCCTTAGTGGAGAGGCACACGAAAACGCACAGATAGGCCTTATGTGAACGCGCGTTACGAAGGTTGGAGGACTTGACGAGGAAGGGGCCAGCAAATTCTGTTCCGACTCCAGCGAATGGTCGGATGGCCCTGACGCGGTCGGGTGGTAAGTCACCCATCATAGGCTACGATACGGTGGCCTAGAGTTTATAACAAGGTATGCACTTAAAGAGGACACTCCGAATGGTGCATCAGCCAGCCATAATCCAAAACTCCCGCTGCAAAATAGCCGAAAGAGCGTTACACCCAGCGTGGGCATTCTTAACATGGTAAGTTACCAGCAACCGAACAAAGGCGCTGTCCTTAGGGAGCAGTAACGGGTGTCGAGCCCCGTACGGCAATTGAGAATTTTTCAAACGTCCGCCAACGCGCAGCATCCCAGCGTCGTCCAGGAAGAGGTTCAGACGGGCCAGAGCGCCCTTGACATCGGAGCCCCGCTTCAAGGTTTCAATCACGGGTTCAAAATGCTCCGCTTGGACCATACGGGTCCAATGCATCAAAGCTTCGCGACGCTCGCTAGGGGACAAAACGGAATCGGAGATTCGGTTGGACGGGTCTCTCGAGTTGCGGACAAATCGACGCAACCAAGCAGTCACTCCTAAGAGCTTATCGAGAGAGCTGTACCGTTCTAGCAGGGAGAAATCTCGAGTGGGCTTATCCTTGTCCACTCCTACTCGGGCTCGTAGGCCAGGCAATTCAATCGGTTCGGAGTATTTATTCTGGGGCCAGAATGACTGAGACTCAGTCAACCAATTGGGACCCCACCACAGCGAGTAGTCAACCAAAGGGGGGGCTTCACAGCCGCGAAAAGCGCAGTCTGCGGGATTCAACTCCCCTGGGACATGTCTCCAGTTTAGAGACGTCCCAGAATTATGGATTTGAGACACGCGGTTCGCCACAAAGACCTCAAGATTGTGAGGTGCAGCCCTAAGCCAACAAAGTACTATCTCACTGTTCGACCGCGCGTAGACGTCCGTAATGTCGATTACAGACTTTAAAGACGAGTGAACATGGTTGAGGAGTCGCGAGAGAAGAGTGGCTCCGGACAGTTCCAATTTAGGGATAGTTAAGCGGGACCTAATGGGAGCAACCTTGCTTTTAGCAAGTACGAGATGGACGGAAGTATGACCAGAAGAGCTCACAGTCCGCAAATATACGACAGCAGCATAGCCTTTCTCAGAGGCGTCGCAAAATCCATGTAGGGTAGCCCTACATTTCCCTGGAGGGAGGAAGCACCTTGGCATGGAGACCCGGTTGATGTCCGGAAGGGAGGACACAATGGAGAGCCACTCCCGCAAGAGAGTACCGCTAATAGGCTCGTCCCAACCCAACCCGGATATCCAGAGCTTTTGAAGAAATCACTTAGCCAAAAAAATGACCGGAGTGATCCATCCATTAGGATCGAAGGTGCGGGCTACTGTAGACAGCACGGAGCGCTTGGTCCATGCTTTAGGAGGGGGATCGAGTTTGACTCGATACGTATCCTGAACAGGCTGATATTGAATGCCCAGCACAGTCAACAAATTAGGATTTTCATTGTACTCGAATAGATGAGGGTCTTGTTGATCCTCTCCTGGGAGATCCTTCAAAATATGAGGGGAGTTCGACAATCATTTGCGCAACTCATAACCTCCGGACTTCAGGATGGCAATTAATTCGTCTCGCAATACAAGAGCCTCCTCGACGGTGGAGGCGCCCGGGCAAATGTCCATGTAGACCGAAGTCTCCAAAATAGAAGCCCCCCGAGCGTATTTTAGACGCGCTCTCTCTCAGCGAGTTCAAGGAGGGTTCGCATGGCGATATACGGGCTGGACCGGAGTCCATAGGTGGTGGTGTTCAACTCAAATACCTGTATCGGATCGCTGCGCTTCTCGCGCCACAATATCAGCTGATATCGAGGGTCATCACGATGGACCACTGATTGTCGAAACATCATCCGAATGTCGGCTACAAAAACCACTTGGTGCCGACGGAAGTGGGTCAAAATGTCGGATATGTCCTTGATCAATTTAGGACCAGAGTGGAGACATTGGTTCAGGGACACACCATTTGACGAGGGGGCGGAGCCCCCAAAAACTACCCGAATCTTACTCCCAGGGGTCCTCAAGACCGCATGGTGAGGGAGGAAGTAGTGCTCCTGTGACCGTCAGTCGAAGTTGGACGGTGATATGTGACCCAGCTCTTGATACTCGCGCATGAACTCGACATATTTGTCGCGAAAGGCTGGGTCGCGCCGCATACGGCGCTCCATGGAAAGCAACCTGTTTTCGGCCAGGGTACGAGATTGGCCCAAAGAGGGCCGTGAGTCAAGAAAGGGTAAGCGAGTGACAAAACGACCGTCGACACGACAGCCGGTATTGTTCTGGTAGAACAACTCGCACTCACGGTGCAGAGGGTTGACTCGGGCCGCGTGTGGTGCCACCTCAATTTCCCAGAACCGCTGGACGACGTCCGAAAAGGACACGTCCACAAAAGAGAGCGGGTCGGCCGTATGAGGAGGTGGAGACCACAGAACCGGTCAAAAGAAGCTGTGCCCAAATACAGTGGACAAGCCATCGGGCTGTAGGGCTCGTATCTCGCCTAACAAGATGAACTCCAGCGCGTCGGCCCCCAGCAA